TTTTTAAAATATATTTTATTGACTTTTTACAGAGAGGAAGGGAGAAGGATAGAGAGTTTTTAATCAAGCTCAGGACTTTTAAAAATTATTATTTCAGCCGGTGACAAACATCTTCTTTAAGAGTTTAAAATTTAAATCCAGCCTTGAAATGTAGGCCCTATTAGTGGTATTTCCATAAAAACAATTCCTGTTGCCCTGACTGGTTTGGCTCAGTGGATAGAGCGTCCGCCTGCGGATTCAAGGGTCCCAGGTTCGATTCCGGTCAGGGGCATGTACCTTGGTTGTGGGCACATCCCCAGTGGGGGGTGTGCAGGAGGCAGCTGATCGATGTTTCTCTCTCATCGATGTTTCTAACTCTCTATCCTTCTCCCTTCCTCTCTGTAAAAAGTCAATAAAATATATTTTAAAAAAACCCAAAAACAATTCCTGTATCTTTTTCTTTTCGTGCTAGGAAGGGGTCATAGTGGGAGCTATGCTGCATGGGCCGCATGGTGGTTGGGATGTATTGTTCACACTAGTCAAGACCCTTTCAATTGATGACACCATCAGGACAGTTCTGTGCACTTAAACAATATCATTGTATATCTGGACCTTGAGGAACTGGCTTCTGGCCTAGATGGTGGGTGAGGTTTGACTCTGTGGCCTCTTTTTAAGGATGTCTAGGCTCGACCTCACTGTTGTCACCAACCTCCGGGCTTTGTGTATGAGAGCTCCCCTTTTGGACTGGGAGCCCCAGGCCTGGCTGGTGGTTTTTCTGAGAGAGGCTGTAGCTTTCCAGGACCTGTACACTCCAAGGTGAAGAAGACCCCACTGAGATCCTAAGCAGGGGCAGGAGAGAGAACTCATACCTTTCGGCCCCTTCTTGGAACTGCCGTGAAGCGCCTCGTAGATCTGCAGCTCCGACTGGAGGGTCTGGAAGAGCTGCTGCTTCTCAGCGCACTGTTGCTGCAGGAGGGCAAGCTTGTGCTGCAGCCTGCGGGGAGGAGGAGGGAGAGGGCGCTGAGCCAACAGGGCGCTTGGCCACACCAGGGCCAGGCGAGCCAACCTTCACACAAGAGAGGCTTAGCCCGAGCTGTCAAGGCGGGGTCACAAAGCCCCTGGCTTTGAGTTTACAGGTGGGGGACAGAGGCTGGAGAGGGGAAGTGCCTGTGGAGTGGTGTTATAGCCACAGTGGCTGGGACACACCAGCACAGCGTTCCTACTGCCCATGCTCTTCTCACGCTGCCAGGCAGTTAGCGTTTAGGCTGGTGCCGGGTTCTACCTTCGCAGAGAAGTCCCTCCTTCTGTGCATGTCACCCATGAATCAGCAATCGCAAAGGGGAAACAGGTCCCCAAAAGGGGCCTTTAACTGTCTTGCCAAGATCCCTTCTTCTACACCTGAAATTGGGGCCTCCTTCCTTATCAGGGGGCTCCCCTGACCTGGAGTCCTTCTCCTGGAGGGAGAGTCGTTCCTCCTGGAAATGCAAGATCTCCTGCTGCTTCTCCTTCAAGTCTTCCAGAAGCTGCTGCCGGTCCACCTTCTGGTGCTCCAGCTCCACTTCCAGCTCTTGCAGCCGGGACTGCGAGGCCAGCAGCGCCTCCCTCAGGCACTCTGCCTCCTGGGAGTGCTCTGGTGAGCAGAACACAGGAGCGTTTAGACTGGGGGCAGAGGTCAGCAGGAAGGTGAGCCCAAGCACGTCATCCGGCAGACAGAGCTAAGGCATGCTGCAGCTGGCCCGGGGGTGTATGGACAATGGGGCCTCGTCCTTGCAATGCCCTTGGTCCTCTGCTTGAATAAGGCCTAGTTGCTGTTAGAGAAAACACTCTGGTCTCTAACGCTCACTATTTTCTAAGTGCTCACAACCTTCTGCACAATAGTCCATTCTTGAATTTTGCCAGAGATCAACAAGATTTCCTGTCTACAGTTTTCAGTACATATTACTGTCATCATTTTGAAAATAGGGACATCTGCTCTGGGCTTGTGGCATCTCTCTGGCCTTCATTTCTTAAAGATCCTGGACAAGGACTCTGAGAATAAGACTGCAGGTGCCGTCAGTCCTCCGGGTAGAATTCACCTGGGCCTGGCAAACTGTGCTCATTTAACTCTTCTATCTACCCCCCGAGAGGTCTGTTCTAGTCTTTCCAGGCACACAATGGTGCTTTAGTAACTGTGCCTTCTCTCTTATGTGTTAACCTTTATCTTCCCCAAGCAGTGACCTTTCCTCTCCTATCTCCTTGCTCTGCGGTGGCTAATTTGGAAAAATCTGTTGATATCTTTTCCCTTTTCCATAAGCATTCATTCATTCTGAGCTTAATCCTTTTGGACACTATTCTTCGTCTTCTATGACAATTTAATAAATATTAGTAAATAAAAATAATTTGTTATAGACAATTTTAGTGATCTGAGCAACTCAATTAACACTAAGGTCAGCTGCACCTCAGGTCACATCAGAAATGATATCCATCTGTGGATGCCCTCCCATGGATGCCACCTATGGATGCCCACCTGTGGATGCCCACCCGTGGATGCCCACCTGTGGATGCCCACCTGTGGATGCCCGCCTGTGGGTTCCCACCTGTGGATGCCCTCCCATGGATGACTGCCTGTGGAATGCCCACCTGTAGATGCCACCCATAGATACCACCCGTGGATGCCATCCTGGATGCCCACTATGTAGATTGGGAAAGCTCTGGAAACATTTTACAGGCACCTCCAGACACATCTGACCAGAAAGGAGCCTGATTGAGGAGTGAGGGGACGTGGTGAGGGGACGGGGATGGCAGCCCAGTACTGGGAGGGACACACAGAGCTGCAGTGAAATCAGGAGAAACATGAGATTGTTTATAGGCTCTTAGGTTCCTTCCTTTTCTGGTTCGAAATCAGCTGTGCATTGGGGAGGTGGGACAGGTACCTAAGTGGTATCCACTTTGATAGCCAGTGACTGGGTATCAGCAGGCGGGTTTACACGGCAGGGGTGGTTCCCTAGGGCTATGTGTCCCTTTGGCCCGGAGGCCGAGGGCCCGTAGGTGGCACCTCTCAGGAGCAGCCCTTTCCAGCCTGAGAATGGTGATGGGAACCTGGGTAGCTGTTATTTCCACCTCCTCTCTGCTTCTCTGGTTGGCGATGGGTGTGGCCAGGGAAGACAGGCACCCGAGGTGACCAGTTTGTGGCTCTGACACCCACCTCGTGACAGGTGACTCAGCTGAGCCTGGAGGCTGCGGTTCTCCTCCCGAAGGGCCCTGTTCTCGCTGTGCAGCTGAGCCGTGGGCTCCAGACCCTGACTGTAGCCGTTAGACGTGGATCCTGCCCCGGAAGAGAAAGCAGACAAGTTACGCATGTGGGTGGCAGCTGCTTTCAAAGCTGCCCCTTCTGTATCTCCAAAGACACTGTCCTACCCAGCAGAAAACCCTGAGGACTCAGGCCTGGGCTCAGGACTGGGGGCCTAGGCCTGGTTTCCTGTCCTCCTCTCGGGGTTCTTGGCTGCACTGTCACCTGCCCTGGCTGCCATCGCCAGGGAGGCTCGTTCCCCTACACAGCTGCGCTGTGGGCCAGACAAGGCGTGTGGGAGGGCCGGCCTCCCAGGGATGGCAGCCAGGGTCCGAGTGTGGGGAAAGACCACCCGGGTAAGTGGCTGGGCGAGGGCCCGGAGACCTGGCCCCACCACCTGCCAACCACAGGACAGGGGCGCAGAGGACTCAGCAGGAAGTCCGGGGCTCTGGGACAGACCTGGTTGGTTCTGCTGTGAGAAGGTCACTCTCTGAGCTCCCTCCATCTACCTGCACAGTAAGGATAGTGGTACTTGCCCAGAGCCCTGCCTGGCTGTTTGCAGGCAGCACCTGTGTAAGCCGACCACTGTGCTCTGAATGCTGAGAAGCTCTGCCCAAGGGCCCTCCCTCCAGAAGCTCCCAATTAGGACCAGGAACAGGAAGCCCGGCCGTCCTACCGCTCCCGCGGGCAGTGGAGCTGAGCCGGTGTTCCAGCTGCTCCCGCAGGCGGTCGTTAATGCAGATGGACTCCTCCAGGCGCTGGCGCAGGTTCCGGATCTCACCAAGGTGCTCCTCTAGCAGGTCAGCTCCTGCAGCCGCCACCAGGGCGGGAGAGAGGTGGGAGAATCCTGGTCACAGGCAGGGCCCACGTGGGCACAGGGCTCGGCCATTGGCTTCTCTGCAAGATCCCTAAACGTCACCTTCCTTCTGCCAACTGCACCCTCTCACATGGGCACCCAGGCAACAGGGCGCTTTCCAACACAGGACAGCCCGGGGCCAAGCAAGCCCCATGGACCCCCTCCCACGCAGGGCTAAGTGCAAGTGTGCAGTGACCAGTGTAACTAGTGAGTGTGAGGGGGTTCCGCCTGGTTTAGAAAAGTAACGGAGCGCTCGTCAGCTTGAGATCTCATTGGCTTGAGTTCTTGTGTGGTTTCCTGAACGTGGGTCTCGCCCAGCGTGTGGAGCTGTGGGAAGGTTCCTTCTCCATGGTCTGGTGACCCCTGAATTCTAGTCACCGCCTGGACCGGAACCAGCCTATGTGCTGAAACTCCTAGGATGATTCATTCACAGTTTGCTAGAATTTCTCAATATTTCTGCCTGACTTTATTTTAGTCTGCAGTCTTTTAAGTTCTGGGAATTAAGCTGCCCCTTTTATTTCAGTTCGGTTTGATTCAGGGGAATGTTATTAAAAACCTGTTCATGCGTGCAAAGAATAAATAAATAACTGAGGCTGGGACAGGCCTGCTGGCACCTGGAAAGGTGTGGCCACTCCTGAGTGTGACAGGGAAGGCCTCACGCTACTCTAACCCTCTCCTCTTACTGATGCTGGATTAAACAACCACACACAGCTCTTCCTTCGCCCCCAAGACAAGGCAGGTCAGTTTCATGGACATGGACTCATCCCGCTGGTTAATGGTCCTGAATGCCGCCCTCGCATCCCCTTTACCAGGGAGGGAGGGAGGGAGAGCCTGCACTTATCCGAGGGCTGGTGAGAGGAGGAAGTGCCCCAGGAAAGGATGACAGGTGCAGGAACAGAGGTGGGACGGGTGCTGTTGACAGGCTGCACCAGCTGCACCACTTTGCTTCAGGCTCAGCCTTTTTTTTTTTTTTTTAAAATGACAGTCCTCTCACTGTTGGCACTGAGTCGCATCCCAGCATCCACCTGTATCTAACAGGTCCACCTGGTGCACTGCCTCGACCCTGACCAGGAAAGCTAGGATAGAGGGAAGTCGGATCTGGTTGTGGGCACAGGACATATTTATGGGGGGGGCACCCTCTCTGTGGCAATCCCTGACTGATGGACGCATGTCCTGTGAGTGCTAGTGCCCAGCATTCCGGAAGGGCCCAGAGTGTGCTGTCAGGGGCTCGGGATGCAGGTGAATATGAGAGCAGCGGGGTCCCTGGCTTTCCCACACCCCGCACAGCACCCGGGCCCTGGGCAGGGAGGATGAAGGATGCACGAAGCACCGCTATGGCCCTTTCATTTTATCCCCAGGGAATTTCACTTACCGGTGGGTTTGGAGTTCAGCTGGCACAGGGAGGAGCCCAAGGACAGGTCCCCAGATACGCTCCCTTTCTGAGGCCTCATCATATCCCACTGGCCGCTGCTGCCCAGGTACCCGGGCTCCAGGATCCCGCCCATTTCTAGGGTGCCCCTCGGAGGAGAGTGGGGCTGGGCAGGGTGGAGGAAGTGGGAAGAGCTGGCGTCTGAGTGGCTGCTCAGCAATGTAGCCGGGGAGGCGGGATGGACGGTGCTGACACCTGGGCAGAAAGAAACCCACATGAGAAACAGCCTCAGAGGGGAAGGGTCAGCAAGGAAGTGTGTTCACTGAGAACAGACCCCGACGGGTGCCTGTGACTGTCAGAGGTCCCAGCCCATGGCAGCGAACCCAGTAGATAAAGACGCATAACCTAGAGGCCATGTACTAGTATTTGCCATCAGGAGACACCAAGAGGTAGGAGACAGTAAAGTATCTGAAAGTCACCAGTGTGAGCCAAAGAAATCCAGTGGACCCTGGCTCCTATCACAACTCCTATGCCAGAGTCTAGGGAGGTTCCAGGAGTAGAACTCACTCCCAAAGTCGGGGGTCATGTGGGTGATGGCATCCAGCATTGAGCACACTTGTGAACAGGACTCTTTGTTGGCCTGTGGGAACTTGCCTTCCCCAGGAGCTAAGCAGTCAGTCTTTCCCTTTCTCCTTTGGGGCTATCAGAGGAGAAAGGGGACATGAAATCCAGATAGACATGGTCTCCCCAACTCCTCCAGACCAGAGAACTCTGCTGAGGCTGCAGGAGGCTATACGGCAGGCAAGTGGGGATTGGACCTCACCCAACATGATTCCTCACTCCTGCCTGAAGAATCACTGAAGACTTGCAGGGGGGAGGCAGGCAGGAAGGGGAGAGAACCTTTCATTTCACAGGCTGATGCTTTCACAGATCTTATGAAATCATGGGCCTTCTCTTGAGCACCATCATCTCTGCTTCTATATAAAACGAAGGCCAGCTTGGGGAGCGATGGAGAGAGGAGGGCAGTGCTGTAGTTTAGGACATTCATATTCATATTCATATGACCGCTGTCTTTCAGGGATCATACACATGGGTGGCAAGGTGCACAGGTAGCTCTATCTAAGCAAACAGAAGAGAGGGCACATTTCCTCCTGCCAAGCCAGACTCCTCTGAGTAGTTAATTGCTAATTTTTATCTCCATCTGTAACTGGTTCTCAAACTTGGCTACATAGTGGAAATACTTGGGACAATGTAAGAAAAGTATATACTGATGCCTGGGCCCCCGAGATGTTGCCTTAGTTGGTATGGAGTACAGCTTGGGTACTGGGTGTTTTTAAATCATCCCACGTGATTCTAATAGACAGCAACATGTGAGAAATACAGTCATGGGTCTCTCCTTCCCCAAATTTGCAAAATACAGATATCCATTAGGATCACTGGGAGTTAGAGAACAGGATGGAAAATGTAAGTCTCTGAATGTTACCTGGGATTCAATAAAGATGTGATTTCCTACACCCTTCAGCTCACCCCAACCCAAGGCAAAGCGTTGTTGACAGTCAGTACGTATACTTTCTACCCAAGGTCATAGGAGCTCCCAAGACTATCAGCACCCGTGAGCAATACTCTCATTCTCCAGTCTCCCTGGCCACACAATGCAGAGCACATGCCCTAAAGCATGCAAGGACAACAGACAAGATTTTAGCCCCACAGTGACCTGAGAAGCCGCCATGCACTACTGTCCACACGGAAGCTTGGGTCAAAGGAAACAAGGAGCATGGGTAAGCGATGGTCCCTCGGAGAGGACCGCACCTCAGGAGGGCAAAGAAAGGGCTACAATCTTCCTCACCAACTCGGGGACCACCCAACTCTGGTCAGTGCCCCAGACTAGATGGGGCTTCAGCCCACAGCACCTGACCCCTTTTCAGGCAGTGCTCTCCTTCTGTGTTTCCCCTTGGATGAAGGCGAGTCGGCAACTATGGAAAGGGAAAGGGGGAAAAGTAAGCTTGAGAGCACTCTTGTCATTGGGGCAGGGAACAGGTTTGTTATCCATCAATTGTTGGTTCCAGAACTGCTACAGCAGTAAGTTCTAGGTCAGACACACCAGCACTTGCCACTAGTTTCAAGGTGCTTTCCAGTTGTTTTTTAAGCACTATTAGAGAGCAAATCCATCATGTGAAGTGCTTTTCTTATTTTTTCTAAGCTGTAAGTGATCACACACACACACACAAAATTTTTATGATGGGGCATCTAGCCCATGTATACATCAAACACTTTTCTAAAAGGTAACTACACAGTCTATGAGTTCTGTGAGTTAGAGGACTGAGTTCATAGCAGACATCCCTATGTTTCTGGGTCTCACTGCCCATGCGTCCCCTGTCCAGGGGCAGAAATGAACCTTGTGCAACAGGGAGAGGGGCTGTCACCCCCTTCTAATCCCTCTACCTCCACCTTGTAGCCCCCACCTGAGGGTGTAAGGATCTGAACTCGACTAAAGGCATCTCACAGCAGGAGGGTATATGGCCATGGAAAGGATCCCACGGAACGTGGCCATCTTTGTCACAGCCTCTTCACCCTGCACAGGCAAGTGTGTCAGCAGCGTGTCAGGCTTCGGCACACTTGGTGGGATTCCCCACTGGCAGCAGTGGGAGAGCACCAGGACCAGGGCCTGGTGAGCTAGACGCCTGTTAACTGATGGGACACACACACCAGAAAGATAACAGTAAATACACTTCCAAAAAATGTTTAAAAAGCAAGCAGCGTTATCCCGCCATCGTCCCCTGGCCATGTGCACCCCTCGGCTTTTAGAAAACTGCCATCAAACCAAAGCCATGCAGAGCGACACAGGTGGGGCCGCCATCCGCAGGCTCGCATGCAGGAAGTGCTCACTTTCTCCCAGCTGCTTCTGCAGCATCTGCAGCTCCTGCTGAGCCTCGGCCAAGGAGACCGCGGGCCTCTCACAGCAGCCGAGGAGGGGAGGGCCAGTGGGGCGGAAAGGCAGGAAGTTGGGTGGAGCTGAGGGCAATGGTGCCTGCGGGAGGCTAACCCGCGTGGGTATGGAGGAAAAATGAAGGCCTAGAAACAGAAGGTCAGGGAGAAAGCAGAGACATTGTTAGAGAGAAAGGAATGAGTAAAAGATTGAGAAGATGAAACTGTCCCTTGAGCAGATGTCTATTTGAGGAGTGACTCTCATTCACGGTGGTGCTGCCTGGCACGGCTAAGAGTGACCACAGCCACGGCCAAGGGTGAGCACTGCTCCCCAAGGCTGGTCTGGCTGACCGCCCCCTCCCCTGCCAGGGCCATCCTGCAGACATGGTCTATGTTCATCTTGAAAACAATTGGCTACACAAGGCAACGGTATTACCATAAGCCAGGTGGCCGTAGCCCCACCCCAGCATCCTGGGCACTGTCACAGCAGGCGCCAGTCCTTCCCCTGTGACAAGACTCTCCCCACACCCTGAAAGCATTGGGGTTCACCCTGGGGTGGTTCGGGCCGGACTAGGACTGTGGGGAAATTTGCATTATGAATGCATGCAATTCAAGACTAATGGAAACATTTCAGAATCCTACATCAACACGTCCCTTCACCGAGTGAAAAACGGGCATCCGTGCAGTGACATAGACGCAGTGGCTCACACACCTTTCTGGGCATTTGCATCACTTGGGAAAAATTCTTAATACACACAGACTCGTGGCGCCCCAATGCAGACCCACTGCAACTCTGAGGATAGAGCTTGGAAATTTACTTTTAAACAAATCTTCATAGTGGTCACTAGGCAGCTCATCTACAGACAGGTCATGAGGAACCCCGGGAGGTTCTGATGTTTGAATCTGTCTCCTCTTTTATAAAAACAGTTAGAGGGCCCTGGCCAGGTGGCTCAATTAGAGTGTTGTCCTGTACACCAAAAGGTGTGGGTTCCGTCCCTGGTCAGGGCACATACCTAGGCTGCAGTACGGAAGGCAACCAGTCAATATTCTCTCTCACATCGATGTTTCCCTCCCTCCCCCTCTCTAAAAACAATAAGCACATCCTCGGGTGAGGATTGAAAAACAAAACCAGGTACAGGGCAGGTAGCCCACAGAGGGAGCAGAAACCGAGACTGACCGTGGAGAATGTCTCACGTGGGAGAGATAATGTCTACCTTCTACATCACACCGCTGCCCGACGCTGACCCGGGACCAGAGCAGTCCTGCAAGGACACCGGGCTGCCAGTGACACCGCCCAGGCTCCTTTGGGAAGCTTCTGACTTAAAGCCCTGGCCTTCCGCCGTTTGACCCCAAAGCCTTTCCGCAGATGTCTACAGGCTAGGAGAGCAGATTTCCCATGAGCCCCTGGTCCGGCTGCTGCTCACTGTGACTGAGAAACCTGAGCCCAGCTCAGGAAGACTCGGCCACACCCTCTTCCTCAAGATTTTGGCTGACTTGTCCTCAGGAGAGATGGGGGCAACAGAAGGAAGCACTGTGCTTTCGGGGGGCACCTCTACACAAACCCAACCCCACCACAAACCACACTGAAGACAGCAGCGGGACGGGAGGAGTGTCAGAAGTGAAGACTAGGTTTGCCTTTCCCTGCATGGCTGGTGCAGACCTGAGATTAACCAGTGCACCCCGGGCCACTACGCTGAGGCAGGTAAACGAAACGTAACCCTCCGATTGGCCTCAGGATACACACCATGTACATTTCAAGGACTGCCGACCCACTCATAATCCCTGCTCACTTAAATAAAGATTTAATATGGTAGAATCTTGTCTGAGGATTCTGAGGCCTCCCCAGCTAGGAAGTGAGCAGCCCACGTACAGCAGAGGCTGCGGCACAGGTAGAACGGCAGTGTGTACAGGGGGCAGATGTGACTTTCCGTTTGTGCTTTGACTACTATAACCCAGCAAGAAACATTGTGCCTCTTTGCTCCCCAGGGTGAAATGAGAGAAAGAAATGATATGTTTATTCAAAAATGATTACCCAGTCCTGGGCGGTGTGCTCAGTGGTTAGCTGTCGGCCTGCACATCAAAGGGCAGCAGGTTCGATTTCCAGTCAAGGGCACATACTGGGTTGCAGGTTTAATCCCCTGGCCCAGGTACGAGGGCATGTGTGGGAGGCAACCAATCGGTGTGTATCTCTCAAATTGATGTTTCTCTCTCTCTCTCTCTCTCTCTCTCTCTCTCTCTCTCCCCCCCCCCCACATCCTCCCACCCTTCCACTCTCTCTAAAAATTGATGGAAAAAAT